CAGCTTTCCTCATTCATTAATTTTCTGAACTGGCCATGGAAAGGCCATACTTCTCTCGGTGAAAATAATGGTACTGAATGAAGTAAGATTCTGTCTAGCCCAGGGCTGGGTGAGGTCAAATTGGCCCTAGCCTAATCCTTGGCTCCTGCTACTCATTACACTCAGGGTTTTCACCTGTTTTTGTGGTTTTCTTTATGCTTTTAATTTTGAAGACATTAAAATTATCTTTTTCCCTCTGATCCACTAGCATGAATAGTGATAGTTCCGCCATAATCTGGAAAGAATCAGAAGAGGAGGCATGTATGCCACTCGCCCTAGAAGAGCAGCCCACTTCCTTTGTTTCTCCTGATGTAGAGGAGGCATTCCTGCTGGCCCAGTCAGGAATTTTATGAGGCCTCTTTCCCGTGAGCAGCTGGGCAAGTCAGGGCAGAGCAGGGCAAGGGGCTCAGAGAGGCCCTCAGGGTCCTCAGCACTGTTGCTGATGTTGCAATCGACCCTTCTCCACCTTTCTGGTAGAACGAGGGCCTAACTCTGGATGGGAAAATGCCCTGTCCTAGGTGCATCTTTTCCAAAACCATTGCTCATGGTCACTGATAAAGTCCTACGTGTTGTGAGATAAAGTCCTGCGTGTTGTGAGATGTATGTACACCTAGAAGCAAAGCAGAGTTGGAGTACAACAGTGCCTATTTTTTCCTACTAAATTTCAGTAAGAAATTTAGCTGACTGAGAATAGCTTAAACAATAGTAACTGCGAACATATGTGAAATTTCTGTAAAAGGACATTGTTTCCATTGTAATATTATTCTCTGCTGTTTTTTTTTTCCTTCTGGAGGAGTGGGTTGATGCTTGACATTAGATACGGAATCTTTTTCATCCCTGAAGAGTAGCTGGGTGGCAAGAGAATAGTAAGTCAGCAATGACTGCTGTTGAAACATGTAGGAAGGGAGAAATTCAAATGGAATACACAATTACAAGTTTCTTTAAGTCTAATTTCATTGTACTTTTACACATCTGGATAATTAACCGAGCATTACATTCTCTCTAGACTATTTTTACAAGTACAATATGCTCTTCACGTGATTTCCATCAGGCCCTTCCGAATATTTAAGCACTCAGGAAGATTGCAGAGCAAGATTCGAAAGTACTATGCCGCTATGATGTTGAGACCTTTTTCTCATGGGGGAAATAAAAGATTGAGAGCCGGGTTCTGAAATCTTTCCAATGTTGTAGGAAAATTGAAGGTTTATTGCTTCTTTAAACTTAGAAAACGCAAGTGTGCACAAACACACGTTGATACTCTGTTTCTTTTTGGTGGTGGTGTGCTCCAATATGGTCATCATGGGAAAAATGAACCAAACAAGAGCAATGCTGGACCTGGCAGCTCAAAGCTCCTCTAAATATTAGAAAGGAATAATAAGGGGAGATTAAGCTCTGGATGTGTCAATCGGTGGCTTTCGGACTGTTGTGTTTATCTGGCTAAGTTCTTTATTAGAAAGTCAGTGCCAAAGTCTAAAATAAAGTGTCAGATAGTTTCTGGCTGCACTTTTCCTCTTTCCTTTTATAATTGCTTTGATGTTGCTCTGAGCTTTTATGGGGCCAGATCTGATCTGATGTTGGGGGTTAGTGCTAACTCACAGACGTTGCTGACCAGCTGCTGCCCACATTGGTGTGCACCCTGGGAAGGCCGGAGAAGCTAGCTGCAGGACTGAGAGCGCCCACTGTGGTTACTGTTGGCAGCATGATGAGCAGGACTCAGAACAAGAGGAGCAAGCGTTCTGAAAAGTACAAGGTTGCAGGGCCAAGCCCAAGGGACCACAGAGGCCACTACTAATTTATAAGACAGTTACATCTAACTCCCCCCCCCACATGGCGTTCTAGTCTATTTTAAATATATTCAGAGAGAAGACTAGGTTAAATAAAATATACCTGACTTATTACCTAATTGCCATTTGAAGTACTTGTGGTGATCAGAGGTTGTTAAATTGAGAAACAAAGAATTCAAAAAGAATAAGCCTAGTTTTTCAAATGAAAAGAAAGACATCTTAACAAGGAAGGTGAAAATTGAAATTTTGTTATAATGTTTCTCCGTCTGTTTTTCAAAACATAATCCCATAATTGCCTGCTGTGTGACAGTTTGAGCCACTCATCCAATGAAATGATTAATGAAAAAGGCAGTGGAGGATTTGTCACACTGACACAGAGCAAGGAAGTGTGTGATAGTCACTAGAAGCAGAAAAGGGAGGTAAGTGTCATCACCATCAGGTTAGCAGGTGTGGAATATTGGAGAGTCTGTGTTTGCAAGTGATTAGAGAATTAGTCACCTCACAGTCTTGTTTTTCATATATGGTCAGCCTAGCAAGGAAGGAATAGTTATAACTAAGATTGGGTACCAGTAAGGGGAGAGGGAGGTCACTGGTGCATTCCTGAACCGTTGACTGAATGTGGTGTGAAAAAGGAGGGTTTTGTAGATGGAATTCGTGCTAGGCACATGACTAAAATACACAGACCTGCTTGTTTTCGTGATTGTAACATACAGGAAAATGTTAACTGTGAACAGACTCAGATTAAATTATGTGACACAGCTTGAATCATAGTAGATGCTCAAAACTCAGGTGTGTGTTCCTTTGTAATTTCCTGCTTGGTCATAGCCCAGATTCACATGATGGTCCCAGGGAGAAGGGGCCAAAAAATTGTGAATGCTTTAGGTTAAATTTCTATCACTATCTGCATAGTGATTTAAGGTGTATGTCTTTCCATCTCAGAAGGAATGAAGACTGGTGTTTCATTGCTAGACCTAACTCTAACAAAACCTGATAAGTAGTACCACTGAAAAGCAAACTTCCAGCATTTGCATTAATTTCCCAAAAAATGGAAATAATAAATAAATAGGTAAATCACTTATCAGTAATGTTTTTATGTAACTACATTGTATTAGGCAATGTATACACTGTGGAAATAGTAATTTATGCATTGGTAGGACTTGCGCCATCACATTTGAGAAGAGGTTCCAATGATGTGGTTTTAAAGGACACAGTAGCTTTACAAGGGCAAATATTGAGCCTTATTCATTTCATAACTTCTCAAACATTTAGCATTAATGGATTTGACAAAAGAATTGTCCGATAAGCCATTGTTAAATACTGTATAGTATGTCTTTACCAGTGAATTTCTCAAAGAAATGTGTTTTTTTTTGTATGTTACAGAAATCTTATTTGAAATATGTCCACTTATTGCCACTAACAAGAAAATATACCACAGTTATGCAAAAAATCAAGTTTTCGATGCAATAGCACAGCTTTATAGTTAAACGTACTTATAAGTGTGCATGAAGGAACTGCTTTGACTCTACGCTTTGTGTTACAATGTATTATTGTGTAGGATGACTGCATCAATGAAGAGCTTGCATATAAACAGTGTCCTTTCATTAATTTGAAAGGAGATTAAATTTTGGAGGGGGAATAGGGTATGGTCTGGCTCCATCTCTTAACGTGTCTGAGTCCTGATGCGCCATCTTAAAATTGCATGGTGGTGTCTCCAGAAGGTGGCTACGGCATGGATTAACCAAGACCTTCCAGGGGTTCCCAACCTTTGAACCACAGAGTCCTGGAAACAGTGCAAAGGTGCTGTGCATTTGGAGCTACCCACACGAGGGTGATAGTCTATCTTGAATTTACATGCACATTTTGAAATTGAAATTTGTTGGAGAATGATAAGAACCAAGAGCAAAGTGAAGGAGAGAAGGGAAATATAAAAATAGGGAAGAAGGAATATGAAGTTTCCGATAGAGTGGCCAAGGAAAGGAGCTCTTAGATGGGCTCATTACAGGATATGAGGAAGTGGCTATGTGGATATCTGCAGAGAGAGTGTTCCAGTGAGGGAGCAGCTAATGCAAAAGCCTGATGGGTCTGCTTGGAATATGGAAGGTAGGGTTTGGAAGCCAGGAGGGTGAGAGAGGAATGAGCAGGAGGGCTGTAGTGAGTGGAGAGGATGAATGTGGCTCCCCTCAGCCTTGTGCCCCCCAAAAGCTCTTAGCTTCTAGGCTCACATGGATGGGAAGTCACTAAGACATTTGAACAAAGAAGTGGCTGCAGCAGGGTGGTAGAGTGGGGTATGAGGAGATCCACACTGTGGAGCCATTCTGAGAGAAGAATGTTGGCCAGCTCAGCTGGTGGGCTCTTGTGGGGCTGCAAAAGAGAAATGGGTATAAGGAATCGATGGCAAGAGCTTTACCTGGGAAATCTGAACAAGTTAACATTTATTGAAGAGGAGGCTGTAGGAAAGCTTGGGAACTGGGAGCTTCATTTCTAACACAGGACATGGGAGATGCTACCAAGGCAGGTTTTTATGGAAAGAAATACAAAATTGTTTAAAATATATAACTGGGTCAATTGTAGTACTTTTTTCAGCATTGTCTAAAGGGAAAGGTATTATCATGTTTGTTCGGTGAAAGGATTTCTACAAAATATTTGGACCTTGGAAAAGGATCCCTTGCTGGGAATAGATTAGAAATAGAAATAAATTCAAATGAGAATTTCAGTGGCCCATAAATGTTAGCTTCCATTTATCCTTCTATTCCTTTAAAAATATGTTGATTTCAAAATTTATATCATTCTATAGATTTTGAAGGGTTAGGTTTAGATGAGATTTTTTTTTCTCTTTAATGAAGCATGAAGATTCTCTAAGGAAGTTCTGTAGAACAAAGCCCAACAGATGTGAGAATTGTGTATGCTATCATACATCATTTTATTTTGGAAGGAAATTCGAACGGTGACTTTCGTTGCATGTTTGTTATTTCTGGTGTACATAAGCTGTGACATATATGTCACTTGGTGCTGTCGGGTGTGGCAAAAGAGGGGAGAGATAAAACTCTTTGTTGAAGGCATCAGAGGACATCACATATGGAAGCATCGCCACATCGCTGTTGCTCTGATTAGCCTAAGCTCACTTACTTGAGCTACCTTCAGGCTGTGATCGCCTGTGCTAACTCGCATCCTTCTCAGTCTTACGCAGGGAAATACGTGCCAGCCATCGCCCACTATATCCACTCTCTCAACCCTGTTCGGGAGTTCAAGATCCACCTGAAAGGAATCGCTCTTGGAGACGCATATTCTGACCCTGAGTCGGTGGGTGTCTTGAAGTTTCTTTTCGTTTTGTCTCTTAGAGATATTAGACCCTTTCTGGTCAGGTAGACACTTCTTACCTTATAGGCCTAACAATTATCAGGTGACTTTATGATGTAAGTCTTCAACTTTTTACTTTGTTTCAGTGTGTCATCCTTTTATGACAGCACCTTGCCTTCAAGTGCAAAAGAGTACACTGTGTGTGTGTGTGTGTGTGTGTGTGTGTGTATCTGCATGCACACAGGTGTATACTTGTGTGGGTTGCTTTTTTTGTGGATGCCTGTGTATATCTGTGTGTATAATTATCTTAGTTGGTCAATTTCTGCACAAGGTTGACAATTACTGAGTTATTTCATAAAGCAAATGGATTTTTCAAAGCTCCATCTTTTTCTCTCTCTCTCTAGCATTTGTGTGTGTCTCTTTTGTCTTCAGATTGTTGGGGGCTATGCAACATTCCTGTACGAAATTGGCTTGTTGGATGAGCAGCAGAAAAAGTACTTCCAGAAGCAGAGTGATGAATGCGTAAGACACATCAAGGAGCAGAACTGGCTAAAGGCCTTTGAAGTGAGTTCTGGGGCCCGGGGCTGCCCTTGAGCAATTAAAACCAGCTGAGGAGAGGAGGGGCCTGTAGAAGCGCGCGGTGCTCTAGCATTTTTGAATGAGAGAAGGAATATCTGGCCTGCTGTCTCGGATCGGGGGAGAGGTCTCAGATCAGGCTGTGGATGCATAAAAAAGAAAAGAACTGTCTGCATTTCTTTGCATTTACTTTGGCTGTGTTTTTAACCTGCAATCATTGGAGTGTTCAGCTAACTACGCCTTTCATTAACTGTTCAGATGTCTTTAAAAGCTGTGTAGAACCTAAAGGTACTCCAGACGTGGGGAATCAGAAGAGAGGCCCCCTGGGAAGCGGATGCACCAAGGATGCCCTAATCCTTTTGGAAGGGTTATGCCCACAAATAGGGGTTCAACTGGAGAAGTGACTGCAGTAGGCAGCAAATGTCGCATGCTCCTGTGTGCTGCAAAGATTATGAAGTGTGACAATTTGAAATATTTATAAAGAGCTATTGGTATTTGTGAATGTTGTTTCATTGCTGTCTGAAAATTAAACCAGAGGATCTGATAATATGGTTATATTTTCACCTTTTGGTCCTCTCTTTTGGTTATATAAAATAAAAAAGCATACTAAATGCTAGGATACAGAGAGTTGAATTTTTGGTTCAGTGCAGACAAAAGCCATACTTACACAATCTTCCTTGCTATGTTTATTAAAGAGTCGCTCTGTTTGACATATTGGTAAATAAAGCAAGGACTAAATTTTGAAGACTTTAATCTGCTTGTCATTAGGCACATACTGTCCCAGCATATGTACCTGCAGTCATTATAGTTATTTAGGCAGAAGCCAGATGGTAACTGATCTTCTGGTTCAGTTCAAAATAGCAGAAGGACAAACTGAGGGAGAAAGGGGTAGCTTAAGGTTATCCTTCATTCACAAGCATGCTTCATTTTTGAGGACACTGCCTGAAATTCCTCAAGGCAGAAGCAGCCCTTGCTCTGAGTTCTAATGGCAGCCAACTTGGCCAATGGTCAAGAGAGGGAAGTCCCTGCCCTCCCTAGAGTCCCATGGGTCCTCCCCTGTGTCAGGACACCAGATGTAGCTGCTGCATGCAGATTCAAGCTTTCTTTGGCTATTGTAAATGTTGAGAGAGAGAGAGAGAGAGAGAGAGAGAGAGAGAGAGAGAGAGAGAGAGAGATCTTAGAGGTGCCATATAGAGTTGTGCTTCCACTCACAATGGCATTATTTTCAAGATTGATTTTTAGGGGCTGGCCAAATATCTCAGAGGATTAAAGCACCTGCAAGCAGGTGCAGGGGCTGGGAGTTCGATCCCCAGGCCTGCCATGCCAGCCCCGCTGCCAGGGCACGCTGAAATAGTGATTGAGACTGAGCGTGGTGGTGTGTGCCTGTAATCCTAGCTCTTGGGAGGCTGTAAGCAGGAGAATCACTATGAGTCTGATCTAGTAGTGAGATCCTGAACACTTTGTAGAACCTTCCCTAAAATACAGAAGAAGAAAAAAAAGATTGGTTTTAGATGATCTACTGTTGGAGTCAGAGATCGAGATAAAGTGTGAATCTTTAGAATCAATGCCAAATTTTATGAGTTATGACAGCAGTATGCAAACGAGATATTTAATGGCCTTTTAAAGAAGCATATGGAGATCAAGCAGTGTCTGGAGGAAGAGTATTTGAGAAATTCAGTAGTGTGAAGAAGGTAGGGTGGTGCATAACCCACTGGGTTGGGAGGACTATTGAAAAGATTGAGTCCTTTACACACAGTAAGAACATAGCCCTGGAGATCAAATGGACTCTCTTCCAAACCAGATTCACTAGCAAAACGAACAAAAACCAACAACAAAACTAAAAGACTTAAAGAGTTGAGGTGTCTTCCTGATCATTGTTCTAATACCTTGAATGATGAAGTTAACATAAAAATCCTTTGATTTTTCAAGGAAAATGGGGAGAATAATAGCACAGTAAACATGAGGGTGAAGTATGTGTGTAGTCTGCAGAAGGACTCCAGGAAATCCTGAAATCAGAGAGAACACAGACTCTAGAATCTTGAGCCTCAATGACACCTGTTTGATGCTTTGATTTTGAAACATTCTTGCATTAATTAAGAAGCAGTACTTCACAGGTGGAAGAGGCTTTAGAGATGGAGAATGATTCACACAGGTGTGCATATTTTGCTTTGAGGTTGTGGGGACCCATGGGTTGTAATTAATTGCCAAAAGACATAGCAATGGGTGGTGGCGGGCTGTGGCTAGAATCATTCCTTCCAATCCCATTCTAGCATTTCTCCTGCGGCAGCATTCAAACATTCTATAAAATATCCTGTTATGTCTTAGAGGTCTTGTAAGGTACAGAAGAGCAGATTCATGGTCATGTTGTCTCTTCCTTTCTGTGACAGTGTTGTGGAGTAGCGTTCTGTCTGGGAGATGAGTTATATCCAGGAAGTGGACTTCATGAGCTTGGACTGTCCACTTTATTTGTTTGACAGCAGATGATGTTTTATTCTTTCTGAAAGCAAATCCATTCTTTCAATTATTTGTTTATTTATTTACTTACTTATTTATATCTTTTTAAGACATGGTTTCGCTATGCTGTTCAGGCTGGCCTTAAGCCCACTTTGTAGCCCAGAATGACCTCGAACTTGCAGTGATCCTCTTGTCTCGGCCTCTGAGTGCTGGGATTGCAGGTGTGCGCCATCACACTCGACCTCAAATCCATTCTTCTCAACCTTATTTTAGACTTCCATGGTACAGAAGATAAAACTCCTAAAGATGAGTTCCAAAAATGCTAGATACATTAAAGATAGCTATTGGCCTATAGTATCCCCTCTGGGTGGGCAAGTTAGAAAAAGATAGACACTTGACTGGGGCTACAGACCGTGGGTTCAGTTTAACAAGCAGATACTTCCCTTGGGAGGATAAAGGGTGAGCCCTCCTCCAGAGCCAGGCCCTCAGCTTGGTCAGCAGAAGTCTGGCTGCTTCACCACTGCAACCTCCCTCCCCTACGTGTTCCTTTCCAACCTGCTGCTCTTGCAACCTCATCATCATCTCCAGCTCCTCAGGTCTCCGCTAATGTACACCCATGGTCTCACCTTCCTGACCTTGAAGACCCTCACCCCTCCTCCACCTCCTCTGGCTGCACCATAATCCTGGTTAAACGCACCTTGCTGCCACTCCCTCCCTGATGCACACAGGCCTGCTGCCGCCTCGCATGCCCTGCTGACCATGACATAGTCCGTAGATAAGGCCCACTAACTCCCAGCCTCTGCATTTAGGCCCACATCCTCCATCCTCTCTCATGCTATGGGTGAGTGGTCTCTGATACAGTTTAAAGCACCCCTTTCCACGAGGCTCCTTCCCACCATAATGGCTCTGCTGTGTCTTCCTCCTGGAATGCTTGTCCCCTGGTTGTCTATATGACTTGCTTCCTTCTATCCACTCCCTGCAGAATAGAACAATGGAAGAATGAAAATATTCTGGTGACATGAAGTGATAAATATCACTCCCCTGATATTTTCCTTTTTCTTCCCTCTCTTCCAACCTAGGTATTGGATAATCTGTTAGCTGGTGACCTAAGCAGTGAGCCCTCTTTCTTCCAGAATGTGACAGGATGTACCAATTACTACAACCTTTTACAGTGCACGGTAATGACGACATTTAAAAAACCATGGTGATGTTGGTTTAAAACATTTGGCAAAACTAAGCTCTCTTTAATTTGGGAAATATTATAGCTGAATTTTTAAACAAAATTAAATTCACTTTGTTTTTCTAATTTTTCGTTTGTTTTTTTAAAGAGAATAAAAATAGTAAAAAAAAAAAAACATTAGAAGTGATGTAGAATTTTACTAAGCAAGCGATAAGAATTCAACAATGGTTGCTATACTGAATATTGTTGTGTTCAAATTAGTTGTTCAGATTACCATATCTAAACATGCAAAACTAGTCAAAATATTATAAAAAATGAAAAGGAAAGGAAAAAAGAAGAGCATTAACTGCTCCTTTCAATAGACCCGCAGAAATCAGCAGACTAATTATGCAAGCCATCTCTTGTGTCTATACATAGATATTTCTTTTTCCCTCCTTTTTTCTTTCTTTTCTCCTTTCCCTCATTCCAGTTGTTCCTTCCCTTTTACAGTTTCTTTCGCTTTCAAGGTATCTGCTATACCTTTCAGATTTTATTTACTCTTTTGTGTTCTTACACTAGTGAGATAACATGATGTTTACACACACATCTGATTTATAGCAAACAAATGTGTCCAAAGCGCAGAGCTGGGTGTGCTCCATTGACCCGTAGGATCTGGTTTCCGCTGATGCTGCGCACGTCATCATCTGCTCATCGAGAGTGTGATTTTCCAGCTAAGGCAGGAGAATTTCTGGGGAACCAGGCTCACCCCTGCCCTCCCCTAGAAGCTTGCCACGTGGAGGAGGGGACCTTCATAAAGCAGGGGCAGGCTGGGCCTGCAGGCCTGGGTGATCAGGACCCAATTTCAAGCCTGCTTAGTTGTGCCTTACAAATGCCCACATTCATTGTTCTGTACTCAAGATGGCTTGGATGATCAAAGCTGCCACCACCGCATTTATGAAAATATTTGCTTTGTCTTTTAACTTGAGAGTTTTGGTGCATTTAGTATGGCCTTCACTTCAAACCTTCTGGAATATTTCTTAAAGTATTCAAGTAGTTTCTTTCATAAAAGTAGGCCAAAGTTGCTGTCTTTTATGTAGAACTAATCAAATAAGAGAAAAGGAACCAAAGCTGGGTTTGGATTTGCATAATCTTTGTCTAGTGCATTTGATAATACATTCAGTTTTTAAAATTGCCTCATTCACGAACTATTTGTAAATATAATCAATTCCAGTGGAATTTGCCAGCTCTGTGGTTTTGGATTAAGATTCTATCAAGAGCACACCACATGTTAAGAAAAAGAGAAACTAAACTTGCACTTGAATTTTTCTCTGTGTAATATAGTCACAGTTTTTCTGTGAGATATATTCACAGTGAACAATAATTGTTGATGAAGTACATTGTTGAATTCAGACCCTCACAGTTAATATGTTCTTTTGATACTTAAAGGTTTTTTTAAATAAACATTTATTCCTTTTTCATTCTGGCATAATGATTATTGCAAAGATCTTTATGCAATGTGATTTTTACGGAGAAATTTCTTTTGTCACATCCCTTTCATAAAGTATCATGTTGGTACAGCTGATGTATTTCTTCCCTTTAAGTTATAGTCATCTGAGGCTGGAGAGATAGCTCAGAGGCATAAGCACCTACCTGGCAAGCACAGGGACCCAAGTTCAATCCCCAGCCCCACATGCCATGCAGTCTCGGCCCCAGATGCACCATCTCAGCCCTGGATGCAGGTTCCCACCATGGGGCCCCAGAACTGGGCATGGAAGTACATGCCTGGAATCCCAGTACTCGGGAGGTTGAGCGAGGAGGATCTCTATGAGATTTTGAGACCAGCCTAGAGGCTACAAAAGTGAGCATAAGGATAGCCTGAACTGCATAGTGAGACCCTCTCTCTCTCAAAAAAAAAAAAAAAAAAAAAAAAATAGTCACCTGATATTTTGCATGGCTTTAATAATCAGCAGAACATAGAAAAGAAATGTTTGACTTTGAATCCATCATCCATCCCAGGCCCCTTGACTTTGCAATACAGCTACTAACAAGGAGCCACCAATTGGGATAATCTCCTCTTTTCCCAATCCCTACTTCTGAGGGATTTTCTAATTATAGTCACGAAAGATTAGCTTGCCAAAGCTTAGCTTCTCCACAGGAAAGTTGGTATTTGCAAACTGGAATTGGTGGCAAGAATATCAGCCCATTCAGATTTGTAGTGAAAGGATCTCACTTCATTCACCTCAGCATCTCCCAGCTAAAGGTTCAGGAATGCGGGCAGTAGCTATGTCCTACCTCACATACAGTGTTACATGTTATGGGAAATGTGCAGGTTTTCCCAACACAGAATTGTGTTCCCTGATGTATTTCTGACATGCTCTCTGCTAGGATCCTGAGGATCAAAGCTACTATGAAAAATTTTTGTCACTCCCAGAAGTGAGACAAGCTATCCATGTGGGAAACCACACCTTCAGTGATGGAACTGAAGTGGAGAAGTACTTGCGGGAAGATACAGTGCAGTCAGTGAAGCCCTGGCTCGCTGAAATCATGAACAACTACAAGGTAAGCTAGTTATTTTCATCACTGTCTATATAAGGAAATTCTCATATTTCCCAGAGCAAAGATGATTTTCCTTGATTTTAATTTCACTCCTGCCTTCTTTAACAAAATTTGTACATTTCCTACAAACATAAGTAACATCTTTGACTTCATTAGATGAAAGATTTTGTTATTTTTATTTTTAATTAAACCATTTCTAATAAGTCTTTACAATGAAATTCATGGTAGCAGGCTGGCGAAATAACTCAGCAGACTAAGCTCCTGCCTAGGCAAGCACAGGGACTGGGGTTTAATCCCTGGCACCTCATGCCGTGCCAGCCCTGCCCCTTGGTATGCTGAGTAGGCCGCCAATACTGGGCCAGTGAGATACTTCAGTGGACTAAGCACCTGCTTAAGCAAGCTCAGGAACCAGGGTTTGATCCCTGGCACCATATGCAGTGCTGGCCCCACCCCCAGGCCACTGAGCCAGCCACCAAGACCAGGTATGGTGTTTCATATCTGTAATCCCAGTGCTGGGGAGGCCAAAAACAGGAGGATCACTGCAAGTCTGAGCTGTGTAGTGAGACCCTGTACCAAATACATGAAAGAAAGAAAGAAAAAAAGAAAGAGAGAAAGAAAGAAAGAAAAAGAAAGAAAGAAAGAAAGAAAGAAAGAAAGAAAGAAAGAAAGAAAGAAAGAAAAAGAAATTCATGGTGCCACTTGCCAGCTCTCACTGTGAAACACCAAGACAACTGAACAGAAGAAATGACTGGCATGAACGAGAGCCAGTTTCCCCTTAGTGTTTGCTTTATGATATGCACTGCAATGAAATCAACTGCTTGCTCCAGAAATTCCCTTTGCCTAGTAAGTACATGCTCCCTTTGCTCAGCAACGGCTGTTTCTGTCCCTAAACATAACACACGCTGCTGGGCTGTTGCTGTCTGAGAACTTGCCATGCTGGGTGCATCAGGTCAGGCACTGAGTCATTTGTTTGGGGTGTCCTGCCTGATTTGCTGCTGAAGATATCAGTGGAAGTGAAATCACAGGAATTAGCCCTGCAGCCCAGGTAGGGGAGCCAGGGGGCCTAGAACTTTCCCACCTTGGTGAGGACAGACAGCGGCCAGGAGGAAGCGACAGGAGCCAAGGCAACCAGTGTAGCATGATTTCTGTCCCAACCACTGTTCCTTGAGTCCCTCCTCTCATCCTCCAGGATTGTTATCTTTTGTCCTAGGGGCATCTGTAGGACGCCTTGAAGGATAAATATACTAGTGACAGAGGACACTGGGTGGAGCTTCCTCCCTTCCTCTGGCATAAGCAAGTGTAATACTTGGAATGAATAAGGAAACAGGGAAGACAGTAATCCATAAAGTAACTTTGAATGAGTCAGAAGATAAGGTATCTTTTCCTTAAAATGCTGTATTTCCCACTGTCAGAAATTATCCAGGCTTGGGACCGGGGAGATGGCTCAGGACTTGACCTCTTTAACAAAGGTATTAAACACATTCGTAAATGTCCCACCCCTTCGATTTAATTTTCTCAAAGTCCCGGCCTCTTAATACAGAGTCAGGTGTCAACATGTGCCTTTGAGGGGTGTGTGTGTGTACATAGTCAAGCTCCAGCACCTACCAGAATAAATTCCAGTGGAATCAGAATAGTTTTTAGACTTAACTCTGAATTAGTCTTCAGAAAAGGAGAATAATTGAGTGGTACAGAGAAGCCATGCTTCCACAAAGAAAAGAGAACAAAAGGTCCAGTGACGTCTGAATGCAGACCCAGCAGAGGCTGGGGCTGACCCAGGTACGTGCTCACTGGTGCAGCTAGCGCTGCCCTTTGACAGTGATTAGCTTGGCTTGTCTGTTATTTATGGCAAACCTCAGTGTAAACATTACAAAACCGGAACAACTTAGGTTGGCTTATGACACTGGTACCCTTAAGGTCGTATTTATGTGAGACTCAGTTCTAATTTGTCTGAGAGTATCGGGCCTGTTTCTATTCATCGGGACACACAAGTCTATTCCCAGTACTTGTGTGTTATGTTAGCCACTGAGGATATCTTTGGCTTTGTGAAGAATGCCTTCTGATGGGAGGATGTTTGCATGCTGGTTCTGCAAAAACATTAATTTCTGTGTAAACCACTTGAAAACATCCTGTCTTGCAGTGATCTATGCGAGATGTATACTCAAGTCATTTTCTTTTCAGTAATTTCAGGTGTTTGAGGGCTTTCCTGACATGTCCTGGCACATTAAAAAAATAACTGGAATGAGAAATAATCTGTTGGATCATTTGTCTTCTTTATAATTAAATCAGTTTAAAATTTCATTAAGTTTTGGAGTTGTCAACTAAAGGAACATGATGTCACTCATGTTTTCACATCACACATGTTGGGTTAGAGCTCTGTTTCCGGTGCTCACTGCCTGTGGTCTTTTGTGACAGAACATGTTTTAGCTTCGATAGGTGTAACATAGGAATAAAAATGGGACTTAAAATGTGAGTTCTGATAAGGTTTAAGTGAGATTGTTTATGTAAAACATGAAAATATGGATGAATGGGTGGGCAGATGGATGGATGTGCATATAAAATTTTTTAAAAGTGTGGTGACCCAGGCGTAGTGGTGCACACCTATAGAACCAGCACTCTGGAAAACTAAGGCAGGAGGATCACAAGTTTAAGTTTTGCTTGGGCAACTTTGTAGGAACCTATTTTGCAATAAGACATTTTAAAAGGGCTGAGGATGTAACTCAGTGCTTGACCGCCCCTGGTTTGATTCCTAGTGCTGAAGAAGAAAGTACTTAGTGGTTAGAAAGTGCTTGTGAATATGACTTATTGCTAAAAACGTTCAACAAGTTTTAGCAAAAATCTCTAAGATCTTGCTACCATAAAAGTTACAGAAGAAACCTCGATAAAGAGAAAAACAAAAAGGTTTAACAGGTCACTAGTTTGTTGTCAAGAATGTAAGGAATTTAGAAGTCTCCACTTTGTCCTAACAGCAATAAAAAAAAAATTGAAGAAAAAAAAAAGCTCTTCTTGAATTCAGGCAAAAAAAATTGAGGTCACAGGGAAAACCACCACCTCCCAAATTGGAAAGCCAGATATGAATACAGAGAGGCTGGCTGACCAGAGCTGAAAGCCAGGAGTAAAAACTCTACAGAGCCAGAGCTGAGGTGGGAACACCAGGATTGTAATGGAGGAATTACTAGGCTCAAAGTAGTGAAATCTGAGAGTTTACAACCTCAGGAGGACCTAGTAATAGAGAGGAGGGCTCTGTACTTTTGTCCATTTTGCCTCCAGGAGGTCAGCCTGGTTCTCATAGTGAATATTGGAGGAAAATTCTCTCCACGCTCCTGCAAGAGGAAGGGAGAAGTAGACACTGTGAAGTGCGTCAGAGCATTCTACCTTAGCAATGTCTGGTAGCAGGAGAAAGTGTTTTCTAAGAGCATAGCCTACAGGAGTTTTCTCAGAGCCTACCAACCCCAGGTGGATAGATGTCAATGTTCCTCAACTTAAAGTGGTATTACAGGGGCCAATGAGATAGCTCAGTGGACTAAGGCTCCTGCTTATCCTGGCACCACTTGCTATGCAGTCCCACCCCCAGGGCGAGCTGAGCTGGCCAGAGTCTGAGTGTGGGCAATGTGGAGGCTGAAAATAGGAGGATCACCAGGAGGTGGAGCTGCATAGTGAGACCCTGTAGCAACCAAATACATAAAAAAAAGAAAAGTATTACATTCCAGTTAACCCATGGTGGGTTGAAAATATCATGAGTGAAAATTTCAGGTAGTTTTTGGACCTGGGGAGATAGGTCAGTAGAATAAGTACTTGCCTGGCAAGCACAGGATCCTGAGTTCAATCCCTGGTACTGCAAGAAAAGAAAAAGAAAAGAAAAGAAAATTTTAGGTAGTACAATCCTCCAGACATCAGAGCTTAGCTTACTCTAATTTAGGAAAGCTCAGAGCACTTATACTTTGGCTTGCATTTTGGAAAAATCATCTAACACAAAACCTGTTTTATATAAAGTGCTCAATATCTTATGCACTTACCGAAGATATGATGGAATGTGAAATCACAAAATACAATATCCAAAAAATACAAGCAACACAGTACTCTGTATAGTATAGGCTGCTTCCCACTATGGTCTCATAGCTGACTATGAGCTGCAGCCTACTGCCACTGCTCAGTATCTTGAAAGACTATTGTATCCTATGTGGCTAGCTTTGGAAAAGAAATTTGTATTTCTTATTTTATTTTATTTTTTATGTATTTAGTACAAGGTCTACAGGGTCTCACTATGCAGCTGAGACCCCTAGTGATTCTCCTGTTTTCAGCCCCCAAGCACTGGGATTACAGGCACAAGCCACCACACCCAGTCTCAATCACCGTCTCAGTGCACCCCAGGAACAGGACTAGCACAGCATGCTGGGGATGTTACCCCGGCCGCTGTGCTCTGCCTAAGAAGGTGCTTTAGTCTGCTGAGCTAGCTGGAAGGCCAAAAAAAATTGAATTTCTGTTGAATACATGCCACTTCTACATCATTAAGCAAAGTTAAAAAGCCCTGAGTCAAGCCACCGTATGTTAGGAGCTCCAGCTCACTTCAGCCTGCCATGTCAAGGAAAGGAAACAGCTGACTCCTGTGCCCTCCAGCCATCTTGCTCCACCTTGCTAGAGGAACAACTGACACATGCTGGTAAATTCACAGTTCATGGGAACAGGCTCATAACAGATTAAGGCCTAACGGTGGGACTGTAGAATATTTCTCCTACCCCTACATTGTATGCCACATTACTAAAGTCTATTTGCTGCAGTACTTTTTATCCAGTACATTATGACCAACTGTATAATAAAATACTGAAAGGCAAAACAGCCAGTGTGAAGAGACTAAACAAGCTTCAGAATTAGAAACAGACATAGCAGCAACGTCAGAATGATCAGACCAGGAATTTTTTTTTAATTCATATTCTCAGAGCTGTCATGGAAAAGTAGACAACATGGAAGAACAAATGAATCAAGTAAGGAGAGATAGAGAAAGATAT